TGTTGTCTTATTTCATAATTTAGTTTTTTGTTTTAGCAATAGATGGCGTTAGGCGTGTGAAAAAACGCGATGGCATAACGACATTGTTATAAAGCATTTAGGGTTTATTAATTTAATGAAGTTTTAATATATATTAAGTGTCCCTCTCTTTTAATAATAAATAGTAAGTGAATTGTGTTGTGTCATTCCGTGATAGGTATTTGTTCTTGTATGTTTTTTTTTACTGAAACTTTCAAAAAACTATAAGCTATTTTATAACCTATAAGGTTTTTAAAAACAACGCTCGATAATAGTCCGCCTTATAGTATACAGTAAATATATGTTAATACAACCCCAATTTGTTCCCGAAGGCCCTTTGTTGTGGCATAATGTCGTGAGGCAAGGGATCAACCCGCCTCACCTGTCCTTTCGCTTAAGATTTTGCAATTATATATGCTTTCTAACTTCCTAGTAAACAACTTAACTTTACTAAGGAATTACGTTTTGTTAATAACTAATTGTCCAAAGGTACATTTAAAGTTACTATTAATGATATTAAAATGGGACTTAATGCTATTTCGAATAAGTATCGCAATACAGCAAGGAAATGCTGCCAGCTTTAAAGGTCACACCACGGTACCAGGGTATTTTTGATGTTATATTAGGATTCTGCTATTTATATTTAATAACTAATTTAGATAAGTTATTAAAATAAAAATAAAAATAAAATAAATCGGTAGCGCTACAACCTCTTTAGGTCTTGGCCTCAGATTTCTGAATTTGTTTTATGATCATTTTTAAATCTAATAGGCAAGTAGGTGATCAGCCTCCTGTGCCTGACACACGCCGTCGTTTTTGGGTCTAAGACATGTCGGTTTCCTCACGATTTTTTCCTTCACCGTTCGTGCAAATGTTAAATGCGCACATAGAAAGAAAGTCCATTGGTGCACAGCCGGGGATCGAACCTACGACCTCAGGTATGAGAGTCGTACGCTAAAACCACTAGGCCAACACTGCTCTCAAGTTATTAAAATATCACCCTTCATCCTAGATTAAATTAGAAGGTATGTTAATGAACACGCACCTGCAAGTTTTCTGGTGGCTATCTCCTATTGTCCATGTTTTATATAAATATATTATTTTTAATTATATAATTATTATTCAGCTCTCAAAATATCTTGGTTATAAATATAGATAATGAGCATAACATATCAAATACATCGTAAAACCATTGGCGGGAAAATGTTCGCGGCCTTGGGGACGCATTTCCATTTCATAAAACCAACGTATCAAAGCAAATCCTTTCTTTTCAAAGAAAAATACGATTTCGATTATGCAAAAAGTTGTATTAGAAGTTTCGTGGAACGATACGAAGAAAACTAATAAAGACTGAATCCCTCTGTAGGAGTATTTCATATTGCAAATTCAAATGTTATATAAATGTGAATAAAAAACATATTATATTTATGTTTAAGTCTATGTGTATGTAGTAAGTCCTATATAGCGCGGTTTTATCCGCGTTGATTTAGATTAAAAATGATGTAGTATATTCCTGAACCATGACCTATTTTGTCAATATATAAAGGTGCTGATTGAGCATTCACTTGTAAGAGTACTTCGCCGTTTTTGAATCTGTTTGAAACTGAACAACGAAGCGCAGAGCCAACCATCGCTACGAACATTTTCATGGCTTTTCTTCTCAGAAAATATTCTTAGCTAGCTTCTTTTAATTTCCTTTCTGAATGATTTTATTAATGACTTTTTCTAGAATGCTCCCCTAGAAAATTCGATAGAATGCTCGCTGAAACGCGATTATTTTTGAAGTTATACTTCTTTAGGCGCGTTATGAAAAATTTATGAGAGTGAAATTTTACGATGCGCGCGTATCGGACACAAAATTAGTAGAATTAAGTTGCCCACGGAAGATGCTACGGCATTGGGCATAATTTAAAAACAACATTCGCATAATAATAGAATTTATGTTACACTTAATGTAAGAGAATAATAATAAATATTTATTAATTTAATTTTTCAAATGTAAACTGAACTTTATTGACTATAATGACTCCTTTTCCAGTCTTTGATTATTTAATTGTAATTAATTATTTGCATGCAATCAAAAATTTTTAATAATGCCAAAGAAGTATAACTTCTTACGCGCGTACATAAGTACACGCACCCTTTTTTTCTGTAATGTAACATTTTCAGAATGCTCATTATAAGTGAATGTTCAAGTTTACCCCGCACCTTTAAAGATCTCTCAGACTTCTGTCTCATTTACTCACTCAGTGTTCATATTATACAATTTAAAATTTAGATCTTATACAAACTGACTATAAAGAACACAAAATATTTTATGCAATTTGATGAAGTCGTTTGGAAGTTATGCGCCGAGAATGTTCTTATAATACAAAATTATTTTCTTTAAAATTTGAGTGAGATTATAAAAATACCAGCTTTTTAACTTGTAATAGTGGTTACTCCCTAATATACATAATAATACGTGTCACATTTACAGTAAAAATTTAAACAAGGTAACACGTTTAAGTATCTTTTGTAAAATTCTGTTGATACGATACGATTTAATGAAAGAAAATCGTTATTAGACCTTTTATAGTAAGGTACCTTTAAATAAAAGAAGATATAATATGAAAATAATAATCATCTGAATTAAGTAGGTTTATAAAAAATATTGTAAAATAGTTAACAAATCATTTAAATATTTAAATGATTTTAAGTAGGAACTACAGACTCCCAATGGGGCATTTACATATCAACGTTTATATTTTGTACCTTCAGTACCTAACTGTTACTTACTATTTCAACACCTGAGACCTTCAATACATCGTATTCGTTTATAGAAGAAGGAGCACATGAATAGGAGGCTCATCAGATGGTATATAATACCGCCACACATGGACTCTCTCGATAACAGGCCAGCGAGCGCGTTGCCGGCCTTTTAAAAATTGGTACGTTCTTTTATTAAAGGACCCTCGAGTTTTGTATAAGAACCTGAAATAACCGCGGATATATAATAGACTAAATACAATAAACTATTGTAATTAAAGATTTGAAAGTCAAATCTATACTAACATACATATTTCGTAACGTATGTAAAACATACGTACGACATCGTATGAAAAGTCCTCCACAAGTTAATATACAGCGAACTTTAAAGCAAAAGCACGTATGTCCTCTTCACGAAACGAGTCGAGCGCTTATGCAAAACTGGAGCTGAAAAATAAAGGCAGCTTAGAATTAAGCAAGCTATACATGAGAGCAGTGAAAGAGTTGAATTATCCTACTTCCGTTAACGTTTTATACATGTGAGCATTGAGCCGAGATTCTTTTGTTTTTTCTTTACTAACAAATTGTCGTAGTAAAAAACTTAAGAAATATTATATTATATTCTTTATTTAATCTTCTTACAGTGCATCTCCTTTCGAAGTTTGGCGATCATAGCTACTTTATCGGTTATTATCTTTTATTTAATAATTATTGAGGTGTCAAACGATTTATCCCATCCTTACAAAGGTACCCGTATTTGTCAAGTAATCGACAATTGATGTTTGGTATAGTAGCGTGAAACAACGTCGGCGATTGATATACAATTTTGTATGTTAATCTTAGCACATTTTAAAGTCAGTCAACTTACATTAAACTTTAATTTCTTGTAATAGTAACTATGCAGTTTGTAAGTATCATGATCACTTGAACAATAATACAAAGTTTGTAAGGTCTAAAATCTCATCAACACACTACCGTCTATGCTATGGGCTTTTTACACAATAAAGAACAGTTCGGTGGCCGTTGATACACAATTTTTATCAATAAATAGTAAGCCCTAAGTAAACTCCTTGGTGTAGTAAAAGACATAGAAAAAATTTACACTGACTATAACAAATACTCTGCCTTAAAATTGATCACAAATAGTTTACCATACGCACAGATACTCAATAATAAATATGATTGTGGGCGTAATAGCGAGCTTCATATTAAACTCAGAGTGTTTCGCTCTGGTTTTGATATAAAGCTGAAAACAAATGAGGCAATCGGTTATGTCAAATAATTATGGGTGACGTTAAAAATTTTATAAAATAAAAATGTCTATTACGAACAACGCAAAAAACCGCTTCCCTAATCCGCGATAGCTGAACCCACGCGCAGCATCTAGTTTCAGTAAATGCAAACGGCGTAATTTGCACTCACGCTAAACACACTAAATACCATTCCTCCTCACAATTGCTGAGCAAACAATCCGAGTGAGCCTTAATTAATTGTTAACCAAACACATATATCAGACTTGTTGTAAATTACGAAGACGAGGCTAGTATGTATGTCAAGATGCGGTTTTACCTGTAGATGCTGATCAGATATTTCGTAATAATTAATTAGATCTGAATTAATTCACGCGCGTAGCACAAATATAGGTTCGATAACCAAGCGAGCATTCTTGCTATGTGCGCAATCATTACTTGTCTATACGATGAACGATATACCGGCACGTCTTGACGAAACAGATTCCTCTATTAAAATATGTGCAAAAGATGCAATCTAAGGCTCCATAATGTAACGAAGTAGTGCACTGGACATTTTAATTAATGTATTACATTTGCTCTGTCAAACCGACAGCATTGTCTAATTATTGACTCGATAGTTGCTAAGTGCCAATTAATTATGACTTCATATAACGATGATATCTAATAATGTAGTAACATCAGTAGGGCTGATGTCACAAACTTAGAACGCGTGGTAAACTCAATATTGAAGTCAAAATCGGGATCACAATTGCTCTTGGAGTTATGGGATAATCTAAGTATTATATACGTACGGTCTTACTAATAAAAAATCACTATACATGCGTTATAACAAGGTGATAGTAATTCAGTGAATAGAGCTTGTACAGGGCATAAACACCTCTTTGACCAATAATCGATGTGTATTGGTTGAATAACAAAACGTTTGACGTTTGATTGAAAAAACATGAATTTTTTTGTGTTGTCAAAGCCTCAAATTATTAAATGAGTACAGAAAATAAAGTAAAAAGGGTGCGAGCCCCTAACTGGGAAACTGTGGAAAAGGTAGGTCAAGTTATGTTATGTATACTTGTTATTGATATTGTCCAATTGGCATAATACTATAATTACATTATATTTTGTGCTGTGTTATCTTTTTACCACCCATCTATGTACCCGGCTTACTTTACTAAATGGTATTCTTGCGCTACAGAAGCTGTTGAGGGAGGTATTGGCGGACTACGTCGATATAATAGAAGACAAATGTACAGACACAAATACAAATAAACGGAAATATCATGCTTGGCAGAAGGTGTATGAAAGGTTTGTAACAGAGTTGATTAAGTAATTCTTAATATATACTTTATAATGTAGGTAGGTATTAAACAAGTTATATTAAAAAAAATTTGCTTCCAGGTTCAATGAGCTCAACGTAAGACAACGGGCATTAGTGGAGCTAAAACAACAGTGGCGAATGAGTAAAGTGGATGCCAAAAAAATAATGAGTGAACACCGCATGCCAAAAACAAAACTGGTGGTGGCAGCAGACCATCGAGTCCAGATGAAGACACCATTAACTTGGTAAAACTGCAGCCACTGGAGTTTGAGGTGGACCAAAACAAATTCGATAGTGATGCACCGCAAATAGTAAGTCCCACTGTTAGTAGTCTACGTGACATCAGTGGATACACACGTCCACTCTGGTCAGTTGCAATAGGGGTGAATTTGCAATGAAAATATATCCAATGTATCTGCTTAGAACAATTATTTCGAATAGCTTATTTAGATAATTATTATTACCCTTTTTTTTTTCAGGAAATAAAACCTACCCTACTTAGTAACTTGGATTCTAATAATTCTGATACAACTCCTAATTCTAATGTAAGTTGTATTATTTTATCTACCAAAACAATTATATACACATTTACCTAATATACTAATAACATTTTATTATTTGCAGCTCATAGAAAGTCCAAAACCTCAGACAAAGAGGACTAGAATTCTACATAAAAAGCCGCGTTCTGCGGTACAAAAGTTGGGTGAGGTTGGTATTAATGTGATAGAGAAAAGGACTATTTCAATCAAAAGCCCTCAACGATCATAATTATATTTTTTAGGCATCTCAAATAGTGGAAAGTGCCAAACTCCGCAACACGGCAGTGTTACAGTGTTTGCAGGAAGAGCACGAAGCAAAACTGAGGCAGATGGCGGAAACCCATGAGCTCAAACAGAAGCAACTTGTCGAAGCTCACGAATGGGCTAGACAGGAACATCTTCTGAGGCTCAAATTATTACAGCAGAAATTTAGTTAAAAATATAACTTATATACTTATAAAAAAAATAAAACCCATGTTTTAAATGAAATATAACTTTTTATTTCTTTCACGTCCTTAACTATCCACACCTATGTAAATAAAACAGCTTCAAAAATATGTTTCAATAAAAGCAGCTTTAGCAGCTTGTCCAGCCTGATTGCTTTGGGGCGTCCGAGTTGGCCTTGATTCTTCTGGAGCATTCTCAGTGTCATCATAAGTAACATCCAGGTCTTCTTTCATGTCAATAGCAATATTGTGGAGGATTGCCAGTGCTACTATACATAATTTGGCATTTTCTAATGACACTGAGAAGCCATGAAGAAGACACCTAAATCTTTGCTTCCAAACACCAAAACACCGTTCTATTGTATTCCTTGTTTTTATATGGGAATGATTGTATGCCTCCTCTTGTGGTAAACTCGGATTTGAAATTGGTGTGAATAAATATGGAGTCAATGCATAGCCTGAATCGCCAAGAAGCCGTCCTTGGAGCTCTCCACTCTCCATTCTTTGTCTGAGTTGACTCTCTCTGAAGATACGGCTGTCGTGAGTACTGCCTCTCCACCGTGCCACGACATCCAAAATGCGCAGTGTTGCATCACACACACACTGTACATTCAGGGATACAAACCCTTTCCGGTTTATGTAGAATTGCCCACTTTCACCACCAATTCTTTTCATTCTAATATGTGTGCAGTCGATAGCCCCTATAACGCCTCTAAATCCACTTATGGCTCTGAACCCTGCAGATACCTCTTCCTGTTCACGTATTGTTGCAGGCATTTTTATAAATTTTTGATTTCTCCTAGCGAGGGCTTCTGCTACTCTTCGGCATATATTTGTGATTGACTGTTGACTAACCCCGTGTAAATAAGCAGCATCGTCTTGAACCTGTTATAAGTATAAAAACATTATTTTCAAATTAACACATGGTACCATGCTAAGGATAAGAAAGTTTTAGGTTATAATATTACCTCTTGTCGACTCCAGGTCCTTAGAGCGATGAGCACCTGCAACTCGGTTGAAAACCCTCCACCTCTATTACTCTTTTCGACATCAGCTCGCACTATGTCACAGATCTTCATAACATACTTCTTTGAAAAGCGGTATTTTGTTTTGAAATCGCCATCCGAAAGTAATAACGGATTGCACCGAGTTTGGTATGTTTTGACTTTCCTTGGAGGTGGCAAATCTTCAATCGTATGTATTAGCTGCATATCAATATTATCTAAATCTTCCATTTGATCGATAAAATCCATTTTCAACAAACACAAATACCTACTAACTCCTCAAGGAAATTTTTGACTGTTCAGTTCAAACTGAACAGTCAAAAATGCTGTCAAACGCGAAATCAGATCAAATGACGCCATTTTTGTCTTATTCACCCGTTAAACTAGGCCTCTGCGTTGTATAAGCATTGTACAAGTCTTCATACAACCCAGACACTTGTTATAACAACCGTATACATCAAACTTGTCAATTCAGGAATTATTAGTAACATTTTTCTTACAACAGGCTTATACGATGTGCATAAATCTTTATTAGTAAGACCGGTAATATGTAAATGTTAAATATAAATGTGATATATTTTATAATATATCTTTTAGCCGGTATAATATCGATATGGTTTATCAAATATCTAGGAATGCGTACTTCAACAATTGGTTTCTAAGGAAGAAGGAAAAAAGAAAGATTAATCATATTAAATTATTATTGTATTTTGCTTTAGCGAATAATATTAAAAGATGTTTCTCAGTTTCCGAATTAAAATAAGTTTATTTCGTATATTTACATGTCAACGTAACGATCACGCAAAATATATTTTATTATAGTTTTCAATTAAACATACTAAACGTGTATTTTCAATGAGTCTTCTTCATTTCTTGTATACAACAAAATAAAACGAATCAAACCATAAAAATATGGCATCGAAAACACTTCATTGATATTGGTAATGATATGGATGAATGGATATGATAACTAAGAAGTATTAAAAGTGTCTAACATAATTTTTCCCATTTTCTTGATCAAAACCGTTTTCAATCTATTCAGAAATGGTTAAACTAAGATGCTTAAATATTTCATCATTACCAAAGGTGCAAAATACAAATAAAACCTCTTAAGCCCAAGTTAACTCTTACACCTTTGAATTAGAAAGTAAATTGAATCAAGAAGATTTAATGACGCCAAGAATTTAATTTCAAAGTTTTGAAGCTCATTTGAGGGAATTCTCTGAAATATAATCTGAGAAGCTTCGTATAACATATTCTGTTACCATTCAATATGACTTTGCTGTGGAATGGAAGCCTGCCTTGCGATTCTGTATATAGAGGATTCTGATAAGGAGGGAGCTTGTAGTTTATTGTTTATCAGAATGCCAAATCGTAAAATGACTGCTTCACGACTGATTTGAGCGCGACCGCCGCTGTGAAAACCGTTGTGAGAGTTCGAAAAGCGAGTTACAGAATCGCAAGGCTGATTATCCATATCACAGGTTCTTACCTAGTTTGGAAACCAGTCTCCCAATGCCTTCTCAACAGTGATCTTATTGTATTGTTGTAAATGTTATATGGGATCAAATAAATTACCTATTATTATTATTATTTTTAGTTGTTATGAAACCAAATGGCATTGTCCAATGACAAAATTCCCAAAAAGGACCTGCTGTAATGGAAAGCCAGCAATGAACATGCTATGAAGCGGTGGAAATTTCTCGTTCCGGAAGCCAGGACACGGTATGTTTATTAAAGGCTATGATAATCATATTATGATATCTACATGATATATAATTCTACTTTATCTAAATTTAAGTTGGATGAGCCAATTTACACATGAAGATATTTTTTTTATGTTTTATTACGAACTACAAAAAGAAATAAAACAAACGATTACATAAATTATTTAATTAATTAAAATAACATATATTTATTTTCTAAAATTATGTTCAATCAACGCAAACTTATATTATTTTTTTTAAGACAATTCACACCAATTGACCTAGTCCCATGCTAAGCTGGTAAAGCTTGTGTTATGGGTACTAGGCAACGGATATACATACATATTATAGATAGATAGACATATAAATACATATTTAAATTATATTATATTTAATTATAAAGTTTATTTTATTTATTACATAGATAAATAAGGGTTTGGTTTATTTTTACTTTATATTAAGTGTTGACTCCAATGAGTTATGTATTATTATTATTTGCAGGCACGCTTACAATTCCTAAAATCCTTATTTATTCCTGGAACATACAATAACATAATAATAAGATAATAATAATAAGAGATATTAAAACAATTATGTTATAATATCGACTCTTTATGTAAGAACAGTGATTTAATTCGACGTTTTTTCTCAAGGATAGATAATTTTTAATGAATTATAATAAAAAGATAGTTTTCAACATTTGATTCAGAAATCATTTTATAAACAAATCACACATCTATTTTAAAACCTTAAGTCAAATGACGGTACTTAAAAGTGCAAAACTTTAAACTGAGATTTTTATGTCAAAAATGTAATAACTTTTAATAATGTACATGTCTTTTTCATCTAATATTTCAAATTACCAATTCACTTTTTCTTATTATATTCCTTTTATTGCGGCCTTAAAAAAGCTCTTTTATTACAATATCAATAAAAAAATGGTTATACAGCGATACCCTGTCCAGGCCCCAGAAGGGGCCATGAACCCCAGGATCCACCCTTGACCTTGCCATTTATAATTACAAAGTCAAACTTATCTGAGAATATAATATGAAACTTATATTTTAGGATCAATGGGACGGTAAGAATATTAATAACATTACATCGAAAATTGGTCGAACACACATTAAATTTTACGTAAATTTTGTCATTTCATAACGATTTGTCTCTTGTTAATTTAATAATATAAGCCGTGCGACTGATTTATATAGAAAAGTTTAATGTCTAGTTATTATATTAAAATATAAAGAACCATCCACTATTGACGTTTATAGGTGTACATAATTAATTAATTTTGTTTTTTTATATACCATAAATCTATTTTCCTCTAGTATATTTATACAAGTGTATATAGTATTTTTATACTCCTTTAAGTCTGGGAATTAACTCATATTGTACATTAGAATTGCTTAGCGTAAATAAATTAGGCTCAAAAGTTGTAACCCTATACATACAACTTTTTAAAGTGAATTCTCGCAACACAACAGCTAGCATAATTTTCATATGAAGCCGCGCGTACTTTGCACCTGAAACAAAAGTTTCGTGTTATACGTTTTTATTAATGTGTCAATAGTTTGACAATTAACATCAAAAGGTCAATTACTTATTTATATCAGTCAATAGGATCTTAACTTGCTAATAATAAATGTTATCGTATCAATAAACTTCTAAAAGGGTTCAAAATCACAGCCTAGCTTACTAAACATAATACAAAACTAATGATTAAATCAAAACGCCAATTAAAAGGTGTAACTAAAGAATATTATTACAGAGATAATGCGTGTTGGGTATGGGTGTGTATTTATGTGTGATTGTACAAGTACTTGAAAGAGTTTCGAGGGAACTTGAATATATTGTCTAGTGTTGAAAAAGTATTGTGTTGTGTAGAAAACCGATTAAATAATGTATGTATTATATGAAAAATTATTCACGTGTTAGTTTTTACTTTAGTAGTTTTACATATTTTATTTCATAGCGTGAAATGTAACGTAATAAATACATTTAATTATATAAAGATAATTTAAACCTTACGTTACATGTTATATTGTATAACTTCATAGAAATGCAGGGTCCTAAAATCGCTAGGTAAAAACGAAGATTTGTCCGTGATTATTTTGTAGTTAATTTATATTTGTTTGTGTATTGTAATATGCAGATAATACGGCGGACAAAATATTTTAAAGCAATTCATTCTACTCCGTCACACGAGTTTTTGAAATTGTTATAAGTAAGTTAATATAAACATAGTAATTTATGAGTAGACTGACATGAATAAGGGCGAAAAGAAAATTAATAACACAAAAAAATACTGTCTGTTTATATAACATACTCGTAAATATCAACCGCTGTTAAAAAAAAATCCGTTTTTACCAGTCGGAGCAATATTCAGTCTTTTTTTTAATGAAATCCGATGTTAGGAATCAAATTTAGTTATGTCACCGTAAAATTGTAAATACCGTTAGATTGTAATCTATCTCGCGAGATTATAAACTGTCGAATGATTGTGAACCTCAACGAACTGCTTACAATTTAACGTATTATTATTCGCTAGATTGTAATCTATCGAAGTGAAACCGTCAAATTGTGATACGGATCGCACCTCGCGCGCTGATTGGTTGAACAGAATATGCCCCGCGCCACCATATTTGTTTGTTAATTCATTTGTTGTCAAATGTAATTTGATTGTTTTGATGAATGTAAATTGATGTCGTGTTGAAAGAAACTCACAACTTTAGAATTAGTTATATGAAATTATTGGGAAGTAAAATTAATCTGTGATTGACCAAAGAAGTTTGAATGATAACTAAGTTAGTGTTGGAAATGAAATGAAAGAGAATTTCATTAATTTTTCAATTTTATTTTGAAGTTTCATTAATTTTATTTTTAGTTTGAAGAGAAAATATTGTTACGTTTCTGATTTTTTTATCTTGATATATTTTTTTTATCATGTGATGTCAGGATTATTGATTACCTACTAAGTAATAAATACTAATTTTTGAAGTGCATTCATTTATTTGACCGATACCCTTGTTTCATTCCTAACTCTATGGACATAATATAACGGTCTACTATAAAGCCGACCAATCAGGGACAACCTTCGGACAGTTGACAATTTTAAGATTGTAATTTTACGGTTTCACTTCGATAGATTACAATCTACCGAATAATAATACGTTAAATTGTAAGCAGTACGCTGAGGTTCACAATCTATCGCGAGATAGATTACAATCTAACGGTATTTACAATTTTACGTTAACAGTTATAGCCCAAAATAAGAGGCTTGTCTGTTAAAATCGTATACAAATTATATCATCATCGTCATAGCTATAAATAGCCCAAGATTTAGTTGGGTACGACAGATGGTGTCACAATAAACAACATCTTAATAATTGAAATAGAACTACAGAAAAACACACGTCGATTTTTGGACATAAGACATGCGTTTTCCTTACGCTGTTTTCCTTTGCCTTACGAACATATGTTTCTTGCGCACATAAACAAAATCTATGGTGTAAAATTAGTAAAGTCTTACACACAACCTCAAGAATCGCGCGCTTTATCTCTAGGCACAACACAAATCCTGGATTATATTGTCACATTCTGTATTATAAATTTAAGCACTATTTCTGAATTGTCCTTTTCGCGGATAATCAAATATGTGCATGAAGATAATAACAGCATGATATTTAATTACAAAGATATTTTATAATTAATTTAAAAAAAAAAATCTTAGTGAATTCTTCAATTTAGTTACATCCTCAATTCGGACAATTTCGCCAACATCAGCAAATAACATAAATTTTAGAAGCTACTATCATAATAGCAATATTTCTCTACCCTCTACGTTTAGACCTATATACACGCGAAGAACATCCAAAAATATATGTATGTATATGTGTATAAATAATATTGGTGTAGTTAAGTGTATTTTTCTCAGTGACATATTTTATTTCATTTGTGATATGCAATAATATTACACGTTCTAACCATATTCAAAAAACGTATATTTCAAATAAGGTTGTAAGGAAATTTGTTTAAATAAAATGAGAAGTACATATTATTAACATTTTCCATAAACGCAGAATAGCCAGTGCAACTTTTGTCTTGTCACCTTTCATTAACTAAAGAAGCCTAAAAGGATATTTATCATCGAAACGTAAGTATTTTATATCGATAAATAAGTTCATTGAAATACTTACCAATACAAGTACGATTTCCTCCACTGAATGGCAAATAAGTGTACTTTTTAATTTTACTAACGTTGTCCGCAGAAAACCTTTCTGGGTCGAATATGTCTGGCTCCTCGAAATTCTTGGTATCCATATGCAAAGCGTATGTTGGGATAATGACATAAATACCTTTGTTAACTTTTAAATTCGATGGCAAAATTGCATCTTCAGTTGCCATTCGTTGCATAGACCCAATCGGAGGATATTTCCTCAAAACTTCACTGAGAACCATGTCTAGGTATTCCATAGATTCGACATTGTCGTAGTTAAGTTCCTTATATTCATGAAATATTCCGTCAATTTCCTTATGAACCTTATGCAAAATGTGTTTGTTGTTTGCTAATTCCAATAATGTATAATCGACAGCGCTTGCTGTCGTTTCGACGCCGGCCACAAAAAACGAAAATGCTTGGGAAGCCACAAACTGATCAATATTTACTTTATAACCTGATGCATCTTGAATCGATTCATCATTTTGTATTTCCATATACATATCTATATAGTCGTCCCTTTTTCCAGGCGTCTCTTGACGACATTTACTGACTTTTTGTATAACTTCCAATATAAGATTTTTGTAATCATCAAATATTTTTGTATTTAGAACCTTAAGCAGTATTGGAAATTGGATGCTAATTATCAGTTTTAATGAAAATAAACATCGATGAAAAAATGGGAGTGGTTTACAAAGCGCATTTACTATTGGCGATTGTAATGCATTTTTTGTTACAAAGTCTAATCCAAATATTGCTGATCCGATTGCAACAAAATTAAATTTTTCATATACACTCTTATTTTTCTCGCATTGATAATTCTTTAAATAATTAATTAAATTGTCTGAACATTGGTATATTGAATGTGACATACTTTTCAACTTTTTATTAGTGAAAACTGGTGTAATTTTCTGTCTGACCAGCTTCCAGCGTTGATAATCATTCATGAAAAGTAAGTTATCTATCAAGTCTTCTTTATCATTAACATAATACCCACGGGAGTGAAAGCAGTGTGAATCTTTCAAAACAGCTCGAATATCTTCCAAATTTTTCAAAACAAGTACAGGTTTTGAATTTAAGTACATCCCAACATAGTCTTCATTTGGATACTCGTTATAAATATTTCTATAAACTTCTGGCAACGAACACTTTCCAAGGAAAAAGTCCCATGCAGCGTAGTTCACTTGCACCACATTTCTTATTTTCCAATAATTATTATTAACATTAAAATAGTATATAACAGTAACAAGAACACATACGAATATGGATATAATTAATATCATTTTGTAAGTTATATTCCCAATTAGTTCAAATTAGTACTGGCTAGTTAAAGTATACCCCAACACCCGCTTTTTTAACTGTCAATCAAAACGTTTTATTGGGTTAATACTGTTCAATATTAATAAACGTTTTGGAATAAGCTAATAATTAGTTTTCTAAGATACTGAAACAATATTCATTGAAAATAGAATTAACTCAAATACAGCATGTTTGGCTAAAAAATATTATTATATCTTTTGATGGTATAAATAACGTTCAATTTATAACATCATTTAAAACTAATGGTTTCTTTATGCATTTAGGAAATATTTTATCTATTTAAGTTACTTTTACATACATACTACATCTCAATTAATTTTTTTTAATCTACATAATATGTTTGAAATTTTCTTAACTTTAAAATCTAATGTTTGCACATTATCTAACATAAATATAATAAATGTCTTTACGATTAGACATAAAAAAATCTTTACGGTTTGGGCTTCAGATTTCTTTCGAAATCATTTGTTGTTTCTTCTTAATGAAAGTTGACAGCCGTCGACTTTTGGGTCTAAGCCAAGCCGGTTTCCTCACAATGTTTTCCTTCACATTACAAGTGTTAAATACGCACATAGACAGAAACCCTATTTGTACACATGATGGAACCTACGATCTCAGGGATGAGAGTCGCACACTCAAGCCACTAGGCCAAAACTGCTCCAGCCATTCCCATTTTAGGTTTACATTTAAAAATAATCAAAGGGTTGTTTACTTATATTAACAAGACATACAGACTATGTAGTAATAGAATTAGTAGTAGTAGATCTAAATATCCATCCTTTTGTAATCCAATAAGTTCCGGATAAATTTTGAGATTGGTTTAAACCCTTCTCAAGGTTCCCGTAACCACCATTGAAGTGGGTAGTAATGTTAATTGCAGGTTCATCAAACCTGGGGGATTAAAAGCGTGCCTAGGTTAACAATCCCCTGTGTCCATTAAATATCATTTTTATTTCACTTGTTAGCGATAATACCGTTGTTACCAGTTAGCAACTTTTTAATAACCTAACAAAAATAATTTTTTTTCACCAAATAATGAAAGTTTCGTTTCCCATGTATAAATGTAATTAATATTTACACTAAAGGAAATAGTTTCTACAATGTTAGTAGTTACTAATTACACACACGAATAATAATTAATTTCTACTCCAAACTTTTAATAATAAAATTTGTTTTAATTTTCTTTTTATTAAATTTAAATTATTTTTATTATTACTATGTAGGTTAAGTCGAGCAGTGTTAGCCTAGTGGCTTCAGCGTGCGACTCTCATCCCTGAGGTCGTAGTTTCGATCCCCGGCTGTGCACCAATAGACGATCTTTCAGGCACAGAAGGCTGATAACCTACGTGCCTATTAGATCATGAAACATATCCAGAAATCTGAGGCCCAGACCTAAAAAGGTTGTAGGGCCATTAATTTATTCTATTTTATGTAGGTTAAGAAGATTGCAAATACTGTATATTTGTTTGTTATGATTACTAATAAATAATATTTAAGTATTTGAATACTTTGACTACTAATAATATACAATTAAATTGTGACTTAGGTACACTACCTAATTTAATGGACATAAATTGTATATTTAAAAATAAGTATGTATTGACAAAGGATAGGTTCCGCCTACCTAATTATTATTTACAACAGATAGCTACTATGCTATCTTACTTTTTATTTACAACTAAAACAAAACATTTAGCTTTTCAGACAACTCCTTCTATTGAGCAGATAGCTTTTCAGACAACTGCTATTGAGCAGCTTAGCTTAAAAGAATGTAGTGATACTTGCAGTAGCACTTCATTAAGTATTAATAATTTAAATTAGATAGTGTGACAATAGAGGCAAACTCTAGCAATAATTTAGTACAACTCAGCTCAACATGTAATATTACTAACAACAACTGTTTAAACTTGATGCATCAAAACATGCAAGGTATGTTGGGCAAAGAATTAGAATTGGAGTTGTTTTAAAAATCAAGTAAAATTATTGATGTCCTATGCATTACCGAACATTGGCTTAGAGAATGCCAAATCATCTTTAACTTTAATCAGCACCAAGTTGCACGTTCGTTTTGCAGATTGTCGGCGATTCATGGGGGCTCTTTGATTATTGTTAATAAAAATTTAAAGTATAAAGAGCGTAATGACATCGTGTGTCTGTCTGTAGAACACTCTTTGGAAGTAGCCTGTATAGAGATTGAGAATTGCATTATTTTAAGTGTTTACAGACCACCAAGTGCATCTTACGATTTGTAAAAATAATTAGTAGCATAATTGATGTAATTGCTCCCCATCTAGCTATAATTTTCAACAATTGTATTAAAAGTGGCGAGTTTCCCGATCTAATGAAACATAGTAAAGTTATTTCATTATTTAAAGCAGGTAGTATGTCCGACCCCAGTAACTTTAGACCAATTTCCGTACTACCTACTTGTAGTAAAATATTTGAAAAAATTATATTAAATCAACTGGTAAGTCATTTTAACGTAAACAAATTATTACATGATAATCAGTTCGGTTTTACCAAGGGTCGCTCGACAGCCGATGCCGGTGTTGAGTTATATAGATATATAGTTAAGGCTTGGGAGGAGTCGCATGACGCTTTAGGTGTTTTCTGCGACTTATCCAAAGCATTTGATTGTGTCCAACACGAGACCTTAATCGGGAAACTCCGCCACTATGGCATCAAGAATACCGCACTGAATCTTCTGACTTCCTATTTACACGGAAGAACTCAGAAGGTTGAAGTGAATGGTAAGAGGTCCTCTGGGTCGGCAGTAGATATGGGGGTACCACAGGGCTCAATTCTTGGCCCTTTCCTCTTTCTTGTTTATATAAATGATCTACCTTTCATGGTAGAGAGAAAACATCAGATAGTTTTGTTTGCTGATGACACGTCCTTGATTTTTAAAATCAAATGACAAATAACAAATTTTGACGATGTGAACAATGCTCTGTCTTCGATTGTCCATTGGTTTAGTATGAATAACCTTATACTTAATGCAAAAAGACAAAAAGCATTAAATTTTGTGCAAAAAATGCAAGGGTTATGGATACTAGACCAATTATAAACGGTGAGGAATTGAATCTGGATGATACAACTGTATTTCTCGGAATCACCATGGATTCAAAACTTCAGTGGTCCCCTCATATTAACGGATTGGCGAAGAGACTTAGTTCTGCAGCCTACGCGGTTAAAAAAATTCGCTCACTAACTGATGTCGATACAGCTAGACTTGTTTATTTTAGTTACTTTCATAGCTTAATGACTTATGGCTTATTATTATGGGGTCATGCTGCTATTTTGAAACTATTTTCATCCTGCAGAAGAGGGCTATTCGTGCAATCTATAATTTAAAATGTAGGGAATCTCTTAGAGATAAATTCAAGGAAATTAATATACTTACCTTTCCCTCGCAATATATTTATGAAAATATTATGTATGTATACAAAAATAGTGATAAGTTTACTAGAATAGAACATACGCACAATGTTAATACACGGAACAAACGCAGGCTGCAATTTCCCCGTACTAGACTATCTAAAGTTAGTAATTCTTTTTTGGGGAAAGGGATACTCTTCTTTAATAAAATCCCAGAGGCTCTTTTATCTCTGCCTTTCAATAAATTTAAGAAATGTATTAAAGAAAAGCTGTGTAAAAAGGCTAACTATAAAGTCAACGATTATCTAGTTGATAAAAGGGCCTGGGACTAGTGCTAGACAGGCTACTTCTAATTAATTTGCGATATTTGTTTTAAATAAGTGTTGTTTGATGATTTTCTGTTTTAAAAGAGTACCGAGAGTTTTTTACGCCGGCTTTTTCTCTCGGCCTACAACCTCTGTCTTCTTTGCCGATGAGTAGGGATGCCTTCAAATTTAATGACGTGGAATAAGTAATACATGTATCTTATGTTCCATAATAAACATATTTTATTTTTATTTATTTTTATTTTACAATATTATATAACTATATACCGGGAAAGGAATACACGATATCCGTAAAAAAGTATGAAATTGTGCGGAAAATAAAATATCACTTACTTAATGCGATCCTTAACCGGTCCTTCTGAACATCATGACATTTTATCATTTACAGACACTTGCCTTAAAGTATTAATAACAAACTTACAAATTAAAACTATGACATCAACCTGCGGCGTCACTCGTTTTAACTAATTCAAATTAAAGCGATTCTATTTGGACTTGACTAAATGATGATATATGTGGGATAGTAGCGAATATTTTTACGCGTGCAGCCTTGCGATTCTGTAACTCACTTTTCGAACTCTCACAGCGGTTTTCGCGGCGGCGGTCGCGCTCAAATCAGTCGTAAAGCAGTCATTTTACGATTTGGCATTCTGATAAGGAGGGAGCTTGCAGTTTATTGTTTATCAGAATGCCAAATCGTAAAATGAATGTGTATTTAGACTTATTTTTGAAGTGAAACTTTTCTAGGCGCATGAGGCGATGATAACATTTTTACGGATGAAACGCAATAATAATAATATTACATATAAAATGTTCAGCGTTTTTGTCGAAGAAAAGGGAGAAAGCGATTGAGACCGATAGAGAGAAAGTGAGAAGGGCAATTATTAAAATTGAAATTTCGTAAAGAGAATTTATGAAATATTATTATTTTATATTTTATGCAAAATAGTTATAGAAATCTCATTCATTAATTTCTATACTAAAAAAATAATTTCGATTAAATCGTTAGTGACTTTAAAACCTAGCGTAAATGCATGTTTAAGAAAACGCGCTAGGTTTTGAAACAAGTGTATTTTGTGACTCACTTCAAAATGATTGTGTGATATTTTCAAACTTATTAGATTTTTATAAACTACCAATAATCGTACCTCAAATAAATCTTATTAATAACGATAATGCCTCTGCGCAAAGTCATTAGATTTGCTATAGGGGGACACATCTTTATTTCATCATTGTCTAAGATTCTAAGAAGCACACCA